GCGGTGGATTTGTAAGCAAACGGCTATGAATCCATTGCCATTGTTCTGCATTTTTAGCTCACTTGCTCTCTCTCTCTCCCGCTTTCTCTAGCACACACATGCGCGCGTGCGCACACATACACACACGCACACAGACACGGGCGCACGCACACACGCACGCACACATGCTCTCTCTCTATCTATCTCTCTCTAACACACACACATACACACACACACACTCCAATTATCTCTCTCACTTGTACACACGCACGCGCACACACACCACACACACACGCATACACATGCACACATACATGTACGCGCACACACACACACACACACACACACACACACACACACACACACACACAATGTACCATGTACCATGTATACGCCCGCCGCAAGAGAAGCACGCAAATCTGCAAATGTACTGGATGTGCACCCACAGATGTTCTCTTATAGCAACGATAGCAAACAAGATCTGATTGAGACAGATCAAGGCTTACGCCAGATAACTGTCTAATCCACACAACTGGCAAAGCCATGTGAATCGACCACCAATGTGCACCTGGTCTACACCACACGGAGTACATCGGCATAAAACGGCCAAGACAGTTACCTATGCACACCCTGCACTTGCTGGGGTAACCAGTATAGACAGCACGCTGCTTTGATAGAAGCAGACACTAGATGCACTGGTACCTTGAAGTGAAATTGGAGTGACTTTACCAACCAGCCTCGGCTACTGAGTACTGGGAACCCAGAGCCACACACACACACACACACACACACACACACACACACACACACACACACACACACACACACACACACACACACACACACACACACACACACACACACACACACACACACACACACACACACACACACACACACACACACACACACACACACACACTACTACTACTATAGCATGACTGCCCATTGGGCAATGTCACCCCCGGAGGGGGCCAGAGTTTGGAGTGCACCGTCATTGGCAGGACTTCTGGTGCCTCGTCAAATCTTGCTGT